CCTAGGTCCCACAAAACGGGTCGCAGGAAGCTGCAATTGATATGGGGGATTCCCAAAATTATGAGTACCTTTAAAGGGGGTTTATAGGGGTTGCATAGGGGTATATAGAGATGCATAAGGATTTATACGGTTTAGAGTTTCCCAAAATTAGGGTTACCATTTTGGGGGCCCCCCATAATAAGGATTGCAATATTTTGGGATCTATCTTGAAGTCCCCTTATTTAGGCAAACTACTGAAACTGTCATATGCGTTGTCTTCAATTGCGGAGAGCCCCAGTGAACATTCTGAATGCTGCATATGGCGGTTTGTTTGCGGGCAGGGCCTTTCAAGGATTCAGCAAGGCTTGTTCGGAAGAATGGTCGTCGTTTGGAGGATTGAGCATGGTGGGCCTCCGAAGGCTCAGAATACTCCAGTTCCGTATATGAGCTATAGTCTAAACTGCTTTAAGAAGGTTATATAATCGGATTACATAGGCACTGTGCTTGGGCTTATTAAGGGGGATACTAGGACTTTAGACTATAGCTACAGTGCAGGTTTATAGCGAAGGCCTTCATTGCATCGTAACCAACAGGAGCTGACGGGCCACACATAATTCTCCGAGAGCACAATGCCATTCGAAGCACAATGACGACCGCCAGTGACCTTGGCGCTTCTAAAAACGCGAAGGCTTCTGCCAATAATCCCCTCCCCCTAAGGTTTAGGTTCTAGGGCCTGCCCCCAATGTTAAACCCCCACCTCCACTTAATATTGTATATTCCCACTGTGGTATACTTTCATACATTGCACATATTTAATGCTAGGGGGCGGTGGGGTGGTTAATCTTAGGGGAGGGGATTAAAAGCGAAGGCTCCTCTATCTACCAGGACCCTCCTGGTACCCCAAAACACGCATTGTGGGACCTATTTAACATGCAGTGCGGGACCTATTGATCTGGACCAGGGCCCACCCTCCCAAAATAGGTCCTGGAACCAATTTATTGGCGGGAACCACAGTAACCCTCCCCCCGGAGTCTAGGCCCTAAACGCGAGTACTTAGGTCTGAATAGAGCGCAGCTGACATCTATACATAGGGATATACAAGGATACCTGACTCGTGCGTGAACGCTCTGCAAGAAAATGCCATACTCTCGGTATAGTAGATATAGGGATGGCTTGCGCGATGCTGTATGCGAAATAGCCTTGCAAAGTTGTTATGGGGACTGCATGGCGTACTCCGCAGTGCCGCCACAAGGCCCCACCGCTGCCCACCAAGAAGACTCGACCAGCCACCGGACCTTCAATGGCATGGAGCGCTAGGCCTGTCTCCAGGCCACTCCCTTGATGGAAGCACCTGTCATGCAGAGCCAAAGCAAATCCGGACTACGAAAAAAGAGCCTTCCCCGCTGGCCTCAGAGGCTCCACAGCAGAGTCCAGAACACGCTGCTGTGCCGGGTCTGTAACACCCAACTCAGCCTGGGCGACATCCAAGCACAGCCAAAATTCGCCATACGAATGCTTCATGTTTGCTGCCAAGGTTCCCAGGAAGCCTCCGCCCCTAGCTGCAACAGAAGCCGGCCGTCCACATTGCGAGAGGCGAACGACTCCACATGCTCGCCTACTCAGGATGGCAAAACAGCGGCGCGTCATCCTAAGCTAGCAAACAGCTAGCGCGGCCTATGCCCAGCCAGTGAAGCCAAATACTGATGTCCTCCACTGTCCACGACCGTGGGTCCTGGCGCACACTGCCTGTGCTACTCCCATGGCAGCAACAGGCTGGAATGAAGGGTGTATATAGTCCCCCTTGAGTAGATAGAATATGGGGTATATGGGGGTCTTATTATGATATACCAAATCTATCTACTGAAGGGGGACTATACATTCCAGATATGCATTCACTCCGACTTGAAGGAAGGCGCCGTGGATGAGCAAACAAATCAATCTTTACTGGCATCACAACAGCACCCCAAACAGTGGAAGGATCTTCACATTTGATCCTCTATATAAGCCCTTGCTAACCCCGATATAGCGCCATATGATTCCCCACATGATTCTAGTGGATCTATTTTGTTGATCTCTTTTGGGGTTCTGGGAATCTCTGAAGCCTGGCCTTCCGGTGGAATGTGAAGTTTCAATACAAAACTTTGGGGGGGGAGTTAGGGTTCAGGGTCCTTGATGAGAGCCGCCGGAACGTCCAAGGAAAGGGAGTTTGGTGGCATCTGCGACCTTCACACGGTAAGCGTAGACGGGGACAGAACTACTCGAGGAGCAGCTCACCAGCCCGTATGATCCGGGCGCGCGGCGCGCAAATCGGATCACTGTGGTCTTGGGCAAATGCCCGGGAAAGTGTAGCTATGCCATACTACTCGAGATGCAGCTACTGGCGTCACGCCATACGCTCGGACTTGAGCCACTGGCTGCATCCAAAGCACGGGCTGACAAATGCGGGCCAAACAGCAACCAAATGGACCCAGTGCTATGCCAGCTGTGTTTACAGGACGGATAGGGTTCCAGTGACCTGGAGACCGCCATTAGAAACGAAAAGGTCCTCTGATACTGCGAAGCTCTGGGATTCTGAGAACTTATGGCAAACTCAGAGCAATCAAGCTGGATCCAGCCTCGTCTTTCTGAATCAGTTCGGGCGGAAGCTCCTCCACCCTTTGTTCGGGAATTGCCTCAGGCATTCTCATGTACGTAATGTAGGGTTCCTCTCAATCGAGAGGTACCCTTCGATGATAGGCACCTTTAAGTATTCTGTAGTACTACAGGAACTGCTCGTAGAAATTCATCCCCAGTTCCACGAAATTCCCTCACGGCGTGTATATGCATGTGTTTTGGTGCAGATGGGCTGTGCTTTGCTAAGTGCTTTCAAGAGGCTGCGGGCGCCTTGCACCCGAAAAGGAAACTCCTCATTGCGGCTCCTGCCGTTTCGACACACCTGAAACCCTCGCAAAAACCCTAGGCCGACGATGCTCCTGGCTTGGCGGTTAAGTGGTAGTCTCCATTAACAAAAGGGTAAACCCAACATGGGGCCTCATATGAGCTATCGTTCAAACTCCTAGTATCCCCTTACTAACCCCTACGATAATCCCCTATTTAATGCCCTGTATAGCGTCCTTTGAGGAGTTTAGACTACCGCTCATATACTATACTCCCGGCTTCTGGAGATCCCCGAAATGGCACCGATTATTTGGGAAATCCCCAAGTCTCATCCCTGGAGCATCTTCTCAAGGACTGGTCCCTGTCTGCCCTGCATCTTGGGAAACACAGCCTTGGGTGCTCTCAAGGGTCTGCTGCTGGTTGGGAGGGATAGGATCCCTATAAATAGCAATCCCCCATGAACCCCAAACCCCATAACCCCATAACCCTAAACCCTAAATTATGAGCCCGAATGGGATCCCTAGAACCTCCTTCATTCCCTACCAACCACGTGTAGAAGGGGGTTGATGCACGCAGCCAGCACCCTGACCCCGCGAAACCGCCAGCTCCCTAAACTTTCGAACGTCGGCCCCAAAGCTCCAAAGCCAAAGCGTAAAGTTTCAAAGCCTGGAACCCTAAACCAATAACCCCAAACCCTGACTCCCCAACTCCCTTAACCCATAGTCTCCTAAACCTGTAGTCCCCTCAGACCTATGACAGAAATATCACTTTCCAAAACTCCTTAGGGTTATACTCTAATAGTAGAGATCAATGATAATTCCTAGGGAGACTACAGAAACCTAACTGCCCAAACCCTAAACCCCTATACCCTAAACCCAAAACCCCTAACTGCCCAAACCCCAACCCATGGTTGACTGGCCTAGCCTCCGCATCGTCAGGCAGCAGACGTAGGCGTAGATCGATAAACTGCCCAATTCGCGTGAGTTCAGGGTTTAGAAGCTTAGGAATCGAGAGGGTTAGGAAGTTCGGGGTGTAGGAAATTGGGAGTTTAGGGAGTTTGGGGTTTAGGAAGGTTGGGGCTTCGAGAGCCAGGGTTTAGGGTGTAGGGAGTGGAATCTCTTCTAACGGCCCTACAAGCTTTAGAGAGCCTCCCCCAAGTGTCATGTTAGACCGAAAGTTCAAATTCGACGACCACATCCAGAACGAACCTCGTCAAACCTGGGGACTACAGTATCCCTTAGGAGGACCCCCCACCCTGTAATAGTGGTACAATAAGAATAGAAGAGGACCCTAATATAATCCCTATTATCCCTTATAGTCACCATTACTGGGTGGGGGGTCCACCTAAAGTATCCCTATCAAACATACTACCCATATCAGGATATACATTGGCATGTCCAAAAAGCTATAAGATTTCTAGCTATGTTGGGGGATGTAGCGGTTTCGGTGTAGCAAATGCAGGAGCTACATAGGGGATGAATGGTCTAGGATGGGGAATTCTCAACCTGAGGTTCAGGCTTCACCCATTTTGGGGATGAAAAGGGCTGGGTGGGGATTGCTGGGGTGTAGAGTGTTCAGAGTCTAGGGCCTGTGGTCCTACAAGTGTGGGTCCCAAAACTGGGGATTTTTTTTTTTTGAGAAGCATACATGGACTTGTGAGGAAGAGTTTTTACACGCGCAGGTATTTCCAGCACCAAAAGCCCCCCTCATGTGCCCATATACAAAAATCCGTCCTATAGGAATCCTGAAGCTTGCGAACCCTGGGTCCGTACGGGTGACTTCCCAACTTTGAAGCTGCCATTGTAGGTAATGTAGCTATTCTTTTAACAAATCTCATGTGCACATCTCAGCACTCTTGCAGGTGAATTTCTGTGACATGCCCAAATTGCTATGCACCCCAAAGAATATTCTCCAGGTATTCAATGGTATTCCCAGGCCCTGATCAGCTAGGTAAACGGAAAATCTTCGGCAGACCGTAGCACGAAAGAGTAACAGCAAGGAGTACCACAAGCGTCTTTTGCGAGCTCACGCTGCTGCAGTGGGTCATGCGGACCCCAGTGGCCCATTGCCTGCCTACCGCACCCAAGGCCACCTGCCTAGCCTTAAACGCAACTGTACACCCCAGAAATCCCTACATGCAGGCTTCCACGAACAAGAGGCCCCAAGATAGACACCCAATGTATTTTAATCTTTGAGATAGGAGCCCCAAACAGGGAACCTCAATTTGTCAATGCCGGGACCCTTCAAATACTAATACCCGGCCTCTGGCTCGCGCCGCACCGCAAGCCATTCGCAGCCAGCGGTGGAGCCGTGACTCTCAAGAGGAGGCGCCTCGACGAAGGGTCGCTCTGCAATGGGCCCTTCACACATGAACTGCAAAACCTGTGGGTGAAGGGCGTTTGCGGCTTGCATTGTTTTACTAATTTTGTTCTGAGGGTTTTTTCTACTGCCCCGAGGCCAGCATTCGGCCAGAAGGGCGAACAAGTGCGCTTCTAATGGATGTCGGCTTCAATTATGGGGAGCTTCTTGAGTCCAGTCTACCACACTTGAGGCATTTTGTAGATCTACCCCATGAGATTCCGCGCTTCAACAGGGGGTAAATTGATCCCAGAATTCTGGCTTCGTAAACCCTGTCAACCCACCCTGTACACCCTTTTACAATCTGGGGTTCCAGGGTTGTACCCCTGAGGTCGCAAAAGGTTCCCCCAACATGCCCCAATATAGCCCTTACGTGAGCCAATGGAGTTTTCTAAACCCTAAACCCTAAACCTAAACCCTAAAAATGGAGTTTTCTAGGGCTCCTGGGATGATAACCATCCTAGAGGTACCTAAAAACCTTAATCCCTACACGAGGGGCCCAACCTGCGACAGCAGCTGGCGAATGTCCGGCGTTGGCTGTCCAGGCTGTAGGTCCTGTGATTCATTCCCCCTCACACACCACAAAAAGCCATATGAGCTATACCGAGTTAGATCCCCCTTAACTCCCCTTGACAGCCCCTACGATGCTCCCCTATGTTACAACCCCCTATATTAAACCCTAAGCCCTAAACCCTCCCCCTGATATCGCCCCTTTTAGGATATAGTCCCCCTGAAGTAGATAGAATATGGGCTATATGAGGCTCTTAGTATACCCAAAGCCATATTCTATCTACTTAAGGGGGACTATAGGTACTGTGAGGGGAGAATAACCCAATAGGTCCTCATCAAAGGAAGCCGGCCCTGACATCTGACACACAGCACCTGACCTAAAACAGCAACGAAATCATACACATCAATGGCAATAATAACCTGTAAAGGTTTAGGGTATAGGGTTTAGGGCTTAGGCTCATTAATGATAACCAGAAGAAGAATAATACTGATGATAATGACAACAAGGCTATGTATCAGAATCCAAGTGATCCATCATTGTGGGGTTTGATTGCAGACCCACTCTACCTGCCCCACGCAGCAAGCAGTGCTCCTGCACAGATGCCGCAAACTTTGGGACATCTCCATCGACGGCTCCAGCAGTGTTTGCGAGGGCTGGCAGCAAGCATGCAGAAAAAGGCTGCCAACTTCAGCGATTGAACTAGGGTAGGTTTGGGGCTCTATATGGACTAAATATTTCTGGCTTTATAAGGAGTATATGGGGATTCAAGGTGATAGAATCTTAACATCATTTTCGAACCTACCCCTGTGAAGAGTAACAGCAGATGAGCCAATCATCCAAAACAGCATCGGCTCTGCCTCAGGTCATGAATGGGGGGTTTCCCAAGATTAGGGGTACCCTTTTCAGGGTCCCTATAAGAAGGAATATGATATTTTGGGGTCTACACTCGGGGCCCCCCTATTTAGGTAAAACTAGCATAATGAACA